TGAGCACATTGGTGGGCATTATACCAGAGGGCTTTGAGCTGGTGGGCAACTTGGAAGGCACTGTGTTGGTAAATGCTGAGTGGGGGGGCACCTTGGAGGGCGCTGTGCTGGTGGTCATAGAATTGTTGGGCACACCTGCCCCACTGGTGCAGATGATAGCCTCAGCCTGGTCACCAGCACCCTGTTCAGAGGGCAAGCCAGTGGAGGAGGAGGTGGTGCCCGTAGACACAGCTGACACTGGGGGTCCAGGCAAGCAGCTTGCCCTGGGGGTGGAACGGGCCAGGGGTTGGAAGGAGACAGTCGGAGACACAGGCCCATGGGGTGATGTGATGCTAGGGACCATGCCTGCAGGTGGCAAAACGAAAGAGGAAACACAAACCCACAGGAGTGTTACCCTAAAATCACAGTCTCCCTGGGATCAGAGGGCTGAAGAAGGGTCCCTCTGCCCTAGGTCACACCATCTCTACGGCACTGAGGCCTCCCAACCTCCTACCCATGAAGGAGACTCCATAGTCCCTTTGGTCACTACTCCCAGGCCTGAAGGCCCCACAGCTGCAGGCACATGCTTGGTCCTGTCTATCCTTAGTTCTTGACCTATACAGCCCGAGCCTGTTCTCTCACAACAAGAGTGAAATGGTCCATTTCTCTAACAGCTTCTATGAGCTTGAAGATCATTATGAATTATCTGCTTGGTTTTTCTTCTCTTGCATGGGACACCCCCTTTTCCTCCTCCTTCTGCCTTTTCCTTCTTCTCCTTAGCCTGGTGGAATCCTGGATGCTCCTCCCACTGCCATCTCTCTTTCCCGCCCCTCCTCCAGCAGGAGCAATCCTGGACCAGGACAAGGGGCAGCAGGATGGCTCAAGCAGAAGAGCTCACACCAGTCATGTGGCCCCAGAGGCCCAGTCAACCCCCAGTGTGTGCAAATCTCCTAGGATGCCTAAGGACTTGGTGGGGGGTTGGGGGGGGTGTTTAGGGACAAAGGGGCAAAGACACCCTGCGGATAGGTGGTGATAGTCCATAAAGGCAGTTATATCAGGATTTCCCTTGAAACTCAGAAAGGACATGCCAGGCCCTACGGCTATCAAAGGCCATGACTTATGTGCCCTCCACCCCAAAGCTAACACCACAGAATCTCGTGGGACCTGTGCCCACATGTGTATTAAAATCGAAGTGCACTTTGCCTTCCAGGTCCACAGCGGCATTTCCTGAAAGGTATTCCATGGCAAGCTGACACGGCAAAATGGTATCATGGTGACACATGGGTGCTTGGGTCAGGGTTTTGAGGTGAGAGGAGTGTGGAGCGCTAAGATGGTCTTTAACTGCTCATGTGCCTGTGGCTGTCCCAGGGGCATGGAGGGCTGGCGGGGCACCAGTGTCATGTACAACACAACACAGTTTGGGAAATACAGGTGCAGAGAGATGCCAGCCTAGGGGGTCAGAGTGGACAACTCTATACTCCTGAGGAGGAGTGCTGATGTCTGGCATGGGGTTCCAGGACCTTGGCTGATGAAGACCATACTTCCTCTGGGGACTGAGCAGTTTTAGTGATTTGCTGGGAGCTAGAGACCCTTATAGGGTAGAACAGTGCCTAAGGGCTCCCCTGCCAACAGCAGGCCCTGCCCTGTACTCTCTCTTCTGCACTGTCTTCCAGGTGCTAGTGGATCTCTATAGAGTCCTTCTGGTAGAGTGCAGAAGTGGCCCTAATTCTCTTCTCTTACCTGTATCCATGCCCTCTGCAATGTTACTTTCTTAGTTCTCTCATCTAGGGATGGAATCTGTTTCCCTACTCCTTGACTCTGGGCTGGCCTTGTGCCTTGCTTTGGCCCGCAGAGTAAGGCAGAAGGAACACTCTGCCTACACCCTAAGAACCTTCTCTTTCTCAGAGCTCTGCTCAGCAGCCATGAAATAGGCTTGTCTGCTGGAGGATGACAGACTCATGGAGGAGAACCAAGGTGCCCAGCCAACAGCCATAAGCAAAACTTATACGATGTACAGTAGTGTACACAAGAGGGAATTCAGCCAAGATTTGAAGAACTGTCCAGCTGAACCAGCCCAAATTGCTGACCCACAGAATCAGGAGCCAAATAAATAATCATATTTTAAGCTACTAAGTTTTGGGGGACTGTTTGTTAATCCAGCAAATGCTAACCGTTACACCTTTTAAGGAATTAGTTGCTCTATGGGGTGAACTCCTTTTATTCCCACCCTTGTCTCCTGTCCAAGGAAGCCAGTGGCAACTCTAACCCTCACCCTCACCGAGAGGTCAGAGAGGCCCTAGAACTCCAGATTCACACATACCTGCTGTGTGGGCACTGCCCAGTTCTGTGTCCTGCTCCTGAGGCACACTGGAGGGCAGAGGACTGCGGACTGCCATGTCAGAGGAGGGCTCCAGAGGGCCACTGGGCCTACTCAGTATAGCCCCAGAGCTGGATGTCTGTGGGGTCTTCATTGAGCTCTGCAAGAGGGAAAATGTGAATAAGGCAGGTGCTTATCCCAGGAGCCGGCAAAGGGCAGCTCCTATAGGCCTCAGCCTACACCATGGAGCACAGGAAACAAGGAACACCTTGCCTTGGCTTTGCTCATTGTCACACCCTCTGCCTATAGGTGACTTTGAACCCACCTCATAGAAAACCACCTGCCCTCCCCTGGGGAGTCTCTATCCATCTGTCTGGCCCTGTAGAAAGGTCCTCTTCTCTAAGGCCATTGTACAGACCCCTTTCTTGGGCTTCAAGTCCATGGTTTGGAGTCTCTGGACACCCACTGCCAACTCATCATATCCCACTAGAATCAGTCATCTTTCCCCCCAACTTCACTTTCCTGGCAATAAATACAGCTCCGCCATCCACCTGCTACCCCATCACCTCCTGCTCCCTCAGCCCCCTCATCTGGTCAACATCTCACATGCACCATTGCAAGGACCTCAAACTGTGACCTCACAGCTGGTTGACAAGAGGGCTGGGGCTGCCACAGGGTGAAGGCCTGATTAACAGACTGAGACAGATCCTCCCTGGGGGAGCCCTGGGGTTCTGAGCAGAGATTAGGCACGATTTGTGGGGGGCACAATTTGTGGGGGTCAGGAGAGGGCTTCTGGAAGACTGGGTAAGCAGAAGTGGGCAGACAGCAATAGGGAACACAAGGTAGATTGTGAGGACGAACCTCTCCCGAGGACTCTGGTGACTGGGTGTCTTGGACAGGCATGGGATAACTTGGCTCCTCGTCTCTGTAGCTGTTGTTGAGGGCACTGGGGGCCACAGCAGGTGTGGAGCGCCCTGGAGCCTCAGCAGGAACTGATGGCAGCTCCAGCGGGGCAGCGGGGTGATTCTGGTTCGCTGGAAGATAAAGATATAGTGAAGTCAAGGAGGAATCAGGGGTGTTCCCAGTGACAAGAGAGGCCTGGGTGCTCTTAGACCCCCAGGGCCATGGCTATTGGCTCCCCACAGCTCCAAAAGCTGTCCTGATATGGGATACACGCCTCAGAGGAGACAAGCTTCACTGAGTGTGAGGCATGAGTTGGGGAGGACAAGGAGAAGAAGGTAGAGTGAAGGGGGAGGGGGAGTGTGTGGGGCCTCACTGGCCTCTCACCACCGAGACTGGGTCAGCAGTAACCACTTCTCTGTCCCTGGACGTTCTGGGACCCAGTGGCTTTCTCCTCCTCCTCGGGGGTGGCTGTCACCACTAACTGATCTCTGACCTGATCCTTCCACCTCAGCCCTTCTCTTTTGCCCCCACCACAGCTGTTTGTATTCAGGGGATCACTGTTAATCTCCACAAGTGAAGAGACAAGTTTGCAAAGAAGGGAGGGAGGGAGGGAAGGAAAAAAGAAGACAAGCCGGGCATGTTCTAAGGCTGTAAATCTAGGCAGGGCCTCAGGAGTGGTCTCTATTCTGAAATATAAATAGAGCTGGCTTGAGTTTTCTTCCTGTCTTGGTCCCTCAGACCTTCACCTCACAAAATCCCCCTCTGGGCACCTGGCCTGGCAGGGAGCATTGAGGGGAGCTGCGGGGTAACTGGGGAGCTGGGGTGGGGAACCTGGAAGGCTTTAACAAAAACCAGGGGAGTGGAAAGACAAAGGGAAAGGAAGGAAGAAACCCATGAGAAAGAAAAAGGAGACAGTGAAGGGAGAGAAAAAGGAGAGAGGAGTGTGAGAGAAAAGATGAACTGAGGGAGAAGAGGCAGGGAAGTGAGAAAAGGAATGGGAGGCAAACATCACAGCCACAAAAATGAGAGGAGGCTCCATTTGCTGAGCACAAGGAGGTGCCTGGCTCCAGCTAAGCACTTGACATGCCAGCATCCCATGGTATCCACCACAGTCCTATGAGATAGATGTTGCCATGAGCCCTGTTTTACAGAGAAGACCGAGGCTCAGGGAAATTAAGGGACCTGACAAAGGGACACAGCTATTAAGTGGCTAAGCTAGGATCTACAGTCAGGTTTGTCTACTGCCCAGGAGTGATGGGAGGGTGGTGACGGAGGAAGGGAGGTGATACAAGGGCAAGGGGGTATGGAAAGTGGAGGCTAGGGGAATAGACAAGGGTTCCAAGAGGAGGGCCAGGACAGGAGGCTTACAGGGCAGGTTGCTCTGGTAGACGTGGGCCACTTCGTCAGCAAGATCAACCAGCTCACAATACCTCAGTGCCCGGATGAGGGATTCCACCCAGCCACACCGGCGGTGAAGGCTGTCGAAGAGGTCCCAGATGGTGTTCTGGTTCCCCTTGCGTTCCAAGCTGGCTCGCAGTAGGTCCTGGAAGACACAGCCCATCTTCCTGCTCAAGCAAGGTGGCCCTGGCCCCTTCCCCACTCAGGAGGGGCACCAGGCAGCCGCAAGAGGGATGCAGCCATCTGAAACTGGGTCAGAGCCCAGGACAAGGCTAGGGTTTGAGTTCAAGTTTAAAAGCAGCTAAGCTACCAGAAGAGAAGCTCTTACGGTGTCCCAGGCTCTCCTACTCAGGGTTTTGTGTGAGTTATCTTATTTAATGCAATTATTACTCCTACTCTGCTGATGGGGAAACTGAGTCTTCACAGAAGTAAGGTAGCAAAGATCCTACAGCAGTGGGGCAGGAATCCTAACCCAGCTAGTCTAATGCCAAAGACTGGGGTTTGTTTATACAGCCCCCAAGGCAAAAGAAAGAGTTTGGATTAGCAAAGGAGAAAAAGGAATGTAGGAAACAGTAGATGAGGGGGGTATAAGGAAGAGAGGAGACCAACTATAAGAAACGGGAAGGATGAGGGCCTGGGGAGATGCTGAGACAATGAAATAGCTGCAGAGCTTTTAAATCTACCTGAATCCTTACATACAAACAAGCAAGCAGATAGCAGAAACAAAACCCACAGAAAATAGAGCGTGCCAAAAAAATGTATACATGTTTTAAGAAAGGAAAAAAAGAACTGTATTAAAATTATAATACTCAATATATACCAATAACAAAAGATGAGTACGAATCATGTGTATACATTGTTTTGTATACACTGAATTTACTGAATTTTTTTTTTTACTGAAAAACAAGGTGATGAGGTATCCCTATAAACCCTGAAATACAAGGGGAAGGGGCCAAACCCCACCAGCCACAGACACGCATGCTACCAGCATGTGTGGGACGGAAGCAGAGGAGAACAGGGGGCGTTCAATCTGAGAACAGCAAAAACTGGGAAGGGTCTGGCTGGCTTCATTAGGTGCCCACAGCAAGTTCTGAGGGGGCTTGGGGTGGTCTGGCACCCATGAACTCTCAAAACTGAGCCCTGGGATCCCTCCCAGGACACGGTCCCACAACAAGGAGAATAAAATAAAAACTGAGCTGGAACAAGGACAAGAGAGATGAAGAAAACGAAGGTGCCGATAGAAGTGGGTGAGGGGCCCGGAGCCTGGGAATCTCAAGCAGCCAGCGCCATATTGTTGAGCATTACATCAAAACGACACCAGAGGGAGCTCAGGAAAGTTGGAGAGGCTACCCTGAACCACAATTCTGAAAGAAAAGCCGCAAGGACAGGAAGTGGGATACAGACAAGAGGGAAGGAATGAGTTGGCTCTGGCTTGGGTGAAGCTCTGAATTCCACAGCCCTGCCCCCAGTCTGGCTGGCTGTCACGCCCTGGCTCACCTGGTCACTTGGTGTGAGGCAAGACAGTTGAGGCAGAATCTCTATTACACGAATACGGTAAAATTTTCGGTAATTATGGCGGATATAGTCGAAAGTCTTGTCCTCGGCAAACGTCATCACTGTTCAGGTTCTGAGTGATAGAGGGCTCTGGCCCATGGATGGACTGAGACAGCGGAAAAATGACTGGAAGAAAACAGACCATACATGGCAACAGGGTTGGGAGTGGGGTTGGACAAAAGGCAATTTTTTCTTTCTCAGCTCTGGAATTTTGGCTTTTCTTTTTAATCATGCTATTTTATTGTTGCCTGAGTCCCAGAGGCCCTCAAAAAATTTGCTTAAAAACAAATTGATGACCAAAAAATAAAAATCAGACCCAGAAGTCTTAGGGCCCATTTCTGCCCTGCAAGTTGTTTAGTTTTGGGGGAGGGTCTGGCTTCCCACCATTGTCCCCAGGTCTGTATGTGCCCCCACCCACTCAGAGCAAGCAGGCTCCACCTAGAAGTGCTGCTTCTTTGAGGTACACTAGAAAACAAAAAGCCCAACATAATAATAGGATCCATCCTACTTTAAAGGTGAAAAAAATGAAGTACTAAGAAATGAAGGGGGAGGGGTGGTTGGCCAAATGGCCCAGTTGGTTAAGAGCGCGAGCTCTGAGCAACAGGGTCGCCGGTTCGCTTCTCACAAGGGCCAGTGAGCTGCACCCGAGCTGAGCGGCTGCTGAGCTGCCAACAGGTGGCAGGATGGCTCAGCTGGTGAGAGCATGTGCTCCTAACAAGCTTGCCAGTTTAACTCCTGCATGGAATGGTGGCACAGCACCTTGAACTGAGCAGCTGCAAGCTGCCGATGGGCAGTTGGATGGCAACTAGACTTGGAGCTGGGCTAGCTGCGCCCTCCACAACTAAGATTGAAGGACAACTTGGCTGTTCCCCTTCCCCAATTACCCAAAAAGAAAAAAGAAGGGAGCTTGTTTGTTAGGGCAAGAGCAAAGAACTGAGGTCTTCAGGATTCAGGATCAGGTTCTTTCCAGAACATGACTGCAGACCCCCCCCCCATTAAAGCAGCTTGCTACATGCATGTTCTTAGAGTAGGAGGCTGAGATCCACTGCCCTGAACTCACTATTAACCTGGGGCAAGTTACCAGTCTTTTGCAGGCTTGTCCTCACCCCTGCAATGGCTCAGGAAGCTGGTTTTGACAATACAGTAGTTTTGCCTTATGAGCTTGAACTTTTTTTTTTCCCCTAAAGATTTTATTGGGGAATTGCGGGAGGGGAACAGCATTGGGGATCCGGGGAAGTGGAACAGACAAGTTGCTGTCCTTTTGTTCTTCGGTCTAATTGTGGAGGATGCGGCTTCACTGGCCCATGTTGGTATTATCATTGTGCTTTTCCCTGGTGAGGCAGATCGGTCACCGGCCATTGGACGGCCGCTCACTGGCGGCTCATGGCAGCTCACGCTGGCTGCCAGCTGCTCACGGTAGCTCATGGCAGCCCACTGCAGCTCAGGTCAAGCTATTGTTCACCATCTTAGCTGTAGAGGGCGCAGCATCACTAGACCTAATGTGGGATCCAAACCGGAGCCCTGCTGCTCAGAGCTGGCGTCTCAAGCCAACTCTTTTTTTTTTTTTTTTTTAAGATTTTTATTGGGGAATCGGGAAAGAGCAACAGACAAGTTGCTGTCCTTTTTTGTTCTTCAGTCTAGTTGTGGAGGATGTCACTTCACTGTCCCATGTTGGTATTATCATTGTACTCTTCCCGGTGAGGCAGTTGCTCACCGGCCAATGAACAGCTGCTCACAGTGACTCACGGCAGCTCACGAAAGTGCACGCCAGCTGCCAGTCAGCCCCACTGCAGCCTAAGCCAAGGCCAGCGACTCACAGCAGCCCAACTCCAGATAGAGCTGTTGTTCACCATCTTAGCAGTAGAGGGCGCAGCGTCATTGGCCCACATGTGAGATCCAAACCAGGGCCCTGGGGTTCAGAGCTGGTGTTCCAAGCCAAATCCTAACCAACGCGCCACTTGGCCGGCCCTGAGCTTGAACTTTGTAAGTGCCTCAAATACAAGCAATTACTGCCAGTTGCTTATGTAGAACTTGCCACAATTTGCACTTACATGCATTTGTTTTTGCTTGTTTTTTTATTTGCCTCTCCACTGGGGAGAGCTGCAGGGAATAAGAGAAACAAGATTTCTGCCATCATCCAATTTATTTCCTATTGGGGTGGGATAGATAACAAATCAGTAAACATATACATAAATAGGAATCCCAGATAGTAATAAAGGTTACAAAGAAAACAATGCAGGGTAATGAGACTGAGGCCCTGGAGAAGGGCATGCTGCTTGGACTGGGATGGTCAGGGAAGCCTTTCTGAATTGGCTGCACTTGAGCTGTGCCGTTCGGTGTTTCCAGCAGAGGCACCACAAGTAAGAAGTCCTAAGGTGGAAACCAGCTCAGCTTGTCTGAAAAATAGACAGCAGGTTGCAGTGATCCAGGTTTAGAAAGCTAGGGGGAGGGGCAGAGATCAAGGAAGTTGGGAGGGGCTGTTATATAGAGGTGTTACAGGAAAGGGGTGTTTGGTTTCATTTGGAGTGAAATGGGGAGCCACTGGAGGGTTCTGAGCAGGGAAGGAAGAGGATTTATTTTCAAAATCTCTCTGGTGATTGTGAGGACCTTGGACTGTGGAGAGGCCAGGATGGAAACAAGGAGACAAGTCAAGAGGCCACAGCAGGGGACAGACACATGTACAGCTGGGATGGTAACCATGGAGCTGGGGAGAGGTGGTTGGATTCCTGGTATTTTGTGGATTTGGGAGGTGAGGGAGGGAGAAGTATCAAAGATGACTCTTTGGGCGCTGGGTGGATGGATGGTGCTATTTAGCCAGCCAGAGAATCCAGGGGAGGATCAGTGGCACACAGAGAACTCCAGAGCTCCACTTTAAACAAGTGAAACTTGAAATGCTATTGGATATCCAAGTGGGTTTTCAGGGATGGAAGGGGGCAGATAGAGGGCCAGGCTGGAGTAGAAACGAAGGGGTCAGGCTTGAGTGAGACCTCCAGGAGACAGCGCTTCAGAGTGCCTAAAAGCTGCTGAGGCCACCAGTCTCTTGCCAAATGGGAAACCGGGCAGCAGTCCTGGGCAGCAGTCCTGTCTACGGGCTTCACAGCTTCAAGTTGCATGACTTGCTTTGCCAACCACTAGGTGCTACATTCCTAGTGGGACAAATGCTAATGATAGCGGTCAAGAGGATCAGGGAGGTGGGGCAGGGGACCTGGGAGGTTTCAGGAGATGAGCAAAGAATAACTCTGTGGTAGCTAATAGACCCTTTTCTCCTTCTCTCCCATGGCATCCAGTGAGGTACCAGGAGAGTCAGATGATAACATTCTTCTGCATCCCAGCCTCAGCCCTTACGGCACAGAGTTTGGGGGTAATGGGTTATGATATGATCCCACCAAAAAGAAAGGAAGCCCATATTCACATTTATTGAGGATCCACTATAGGCAGGCCCATCCTAAGTTTCTTTCATTTAATCCTTGCCACAAATCCATGAGAGAAGTGATGCCAAGTTGCACAGCTGACCAGTGGCCCTGACAGGATTTGAACCCAGGACTTGATGCCTCATTGCAGCTCACCATACACTTTGCAGGGCATAGAAGCCACTGCAACAAGTGAAACTCACACAGCCCCCTGCCTTCAAGTTCAGGAAGGGGTCAAGGTCACTGCCTGAGTGAGGGGGGTAAGGGTGCACCTGGGAGGATGCAACATTTACTCCCTTGTCCTTTGAGAAATGGGAATCTTCACACAGGACTGAGGACCTAACCGTGCCCTCCACAGCGCGGCTCTAAGGTCGCCGACTCTCCTTCCAGATATTTTTGAGTCTCCACAGCATCTATACGGAGAACGTCGTTTTGGTGTTTTTTTTTTTGGTTTGTTTTTCAGTGTTTTTCTGGCACCTCTCTCTGATCTCAGAGATGATGGGCGGAGAGGAGAGTTTCCGACCCGACTGCCCCAGGGCTCTGCGTGCATTTGAGAAATATCCACCCGCTTGGGAGAGGCGAGGTCTCACAGCCCCACAGACCCAGGTCCGCGGAGAGCGCGAGGCTGTTCTTATGAGCAGGTGTCTCCACCGAAAACTTGTCAAGACCCGTGGGAGGGCGGTAGCCCGAGGCGCGGCCGAGGCCACCGGAGGTTGGCGCACCCGAGCTAGGCCTCGCCTCGGGGTCACCCTGGGCCTGAGCAGGGTAGCTGGAGGACCTCAGCGGCCGGCGCCCGTCTCCTTCCTTTCCAACCTCCCCCCGCAGCCCAAGCAAACGCCCCGTGCCACCCACCTCCCGATCCCCCGGGAGCCCTTGCTGACCCAAACTCCAAGTGCCTTAGGACCCTCTCTTCCTGAGCCCCGCGCGCCCTGTCTCCCCCCCCCCCTCCGCGGCCCCCTGCGCGCCCTGGACCCCGTGAGCTCTGGGTGATTCCAAGTCCCACTTGGCTCCTGACGCCGTGGGCCACCTCCCCGAAAGGCGTCTGTACGCCCTCAGCCCCAGAGCACCAAGCGCGTGGGGCTGTGATCTTACCTCTGGTAGCCACGATCCGGCGCCCTGCCGACCGCCGCCGACAGCCACCTACCGCCGGAACCCTCCCCGGCCAGGAAGGAGGGGCGGGGCCATTGGTCGGACGGCAGGGGCCGGGCTTCGTGGCCCGAGTAGACAGCTGGGAACCTGGGGGAGGCACTTGGCCTAGCTTTAGAGGCCCGGACGCTCTGGACCAGCACTCCGGACGGACCTAGGTTCCTGCAGAGGCGCAAAGGAGCAAATTATTTTCTTCCCCTGTTCGTCTCAAGCAGCTTTCAGGGGAAGTCCAGTGTCTAGTTAAAAACCAAGTGGTTGCCCGACTTCCGAGACTGCGCCCTGTTGAGTTCCCATGCTTTCTACACAAAGCAATCCCTTCTCCTGCCCAGTGATTTGAGGAGGGAGAGGCTTTCTGTGGTTCGCTCTTGGGCGCCCAGGGCCTGGCACACAATGCTCAACGAACGTTCGGTGATCCGCAAAGTTTACAAAGGCGCGAGTGCCCAGCCACGCAACGCGCGTGCTGGGCCTGAGAAACCAGGATCCGGATGCAGGGCATACGTACCAAGGCTGGCTCACCCGGCTCCCTTAGTGTGGGCCTTGAGTGCTGTGTGGGAAAGGCCTCTCCGCCCAAAGGTCTGGGGCGGGTAACTTCCGCAGTGCTTGCCAGCCACCTCATCCTTCCTCTGATGGGGCACAGGATGCTTGCTGGGGCAGAAGCTGGCAATTATTGAGGGGCTCTGTGTTCCACGTACAGGCTTCAAGTCCCTATCTTAGGGCCCTTTAAACGCTCTCACAATAATGAGGTAGAAGTTTGTTTTTTTCTGTTTTAAAGAGAGACTTAAAGCTTTGGGAAAAGGTTGGCTGTTCTTACGAAAAGCTTAAACATGCCAGCCCTGTCACTCAGCAGCCACTCCTGGGTATGCATTCACCTAGAAACATGCACAATAGATCATGGTCATAGTAACTTTATTCACAATAGGTAAACTCTGGAAACGACCCAAAGGTCCATCAGCAGGAGAATGGAGAGACAAGCTCTGGTGTGCTCACACCATGGAATAGTATACAACACTGAAAAAGAACACACTATTGATACACACAACATGGCTGAATCTCACCAGCATGAATGGGCACCATGGCTAACTAAGCCAAGCACAGAGAATACATGCTGTCTGTCCTGAGTCACAAGGTAAGGTTCAAAAACAGGCAAAACTCATCTATATAAATAGAAATCCTATCACTAGTTACCTCTGGGGATGTTGAGGGGTGGGGTACAAGGGAGCCTTCTGGCCGGATGGAAATATTCTGTATCTTGATGTGAGTGTTGGGTGCACGGGCTTGTGCCTATGTAAAAATGCATTAGCTGTACGCTTAAGATTGTTACTGCAGCTTTTTAAAAAAAAGACATCTAAGAAGTTAAGAGGTCTGGCCAAGATCACATGCAAATGCCTGAGGACATACCTGTCTCCAAATCCAGTGCTCCCAAACTGAATTGTGGGAGGATGCCTGAACGCTTTTCAGATGATACCTGATTACTTGGTAACCTTGTGGATATTTCACAACATTCAGCATTTACAAAATGTTAATATCACACCTGAACTCAACTAACTGTAATAAAGCCACGGCTGCCTTGTCTAGCCAAGACAGGGTTAACCTTGATTGGTTCAAGAATTACTCCTGCCTGCTACCCACCCCAAATCAAGTGGCCTCATATATAATGCTTGCAGGAAGAGTACTGGAAGTGTGGTGACTCGCTTCCAAATGTAGTTGCCACCCTGTTTTTGCTGGACTTTATAGAGCATTAAAAATATATATATATAGCTTCCTCAAAAACACAAAGATACTGTCTTAGTCCATTTGGGCTGCTATAACAAAAATTCCAAAGACTGGGTGGTTTAATCAAGAAATATTTATTTCCAAGTTCTGGAAAATTGGGAAATCCAAGATCAAGATGCTGACAGATCTGGTGTCTGATAAGGGCTCACTTTCTGGTTCATAGACATAATCCTCACATGGCAGAAGAAGCAAGGTAGCTCTCTGGGGTCTTTAAAAGAACACTAATTCCATTCATAAAGGCTTTACCCTATGACTTAATCACCCCCCAAAGACCCCCACCTCCAAATGCCATCTCGTTGAGGATTAGGTTTCAATATATGAATTGTGGTGGGGGTTGGAGGGACAAAAACATTCATTCTATAGATATCAACAATTAGGATGGCTATTTTTAAAACATACAGAAAATGACAAGCGTTTGGCAAGGATGTGGAGAAATTGGAACCCTTGTACATTGCTGGTGGGAATGCAAAATGGGAAGCTGCTGTAGAAAACAATATGGTGGTTCCTTAAAAAATTAAAAATAGAACTACCATCTGATCCAGCAATTTAACTTCTGGATGCATACCCAAAGAACTGAAAGCAGAGACTGGAACAGATATTTGTACACCCATGTTCATATGCAGCATATTCACAGCAGTCAAAAGGTAGAAGCAACCCAAATGTCTATCGATGAATGAATAAACAAAATATGGTGTATAACATACAATGGAATATTATTCGGCCCTTAAAAAGGAAGGAAATTCAAACACATGCTGTAACGCAGGTGAACTTTGAAGATATTATGCTATGTGAAATAAGCGAGTCACAAAAGGAAAAATACTGTATGATTCCACTTACGAGTATATAAGGTACCTAGAGTAGTCAAACTCATAGACATAGAAAGTAGAATGGTGGTTGCAATGGAGAATTAGTATCTAATGGGTAAAGCTTCAGTTGAAGACAATGAAAAAATTCTGGAGATGGATGGTGGTAATGAATGCACAACAATGTACTTAATGCCACAGAACTGTACACTTAAAATGCTTAAAATAGTAAACTTTATGTATAGTTTGCCACAATAAAAATTCTGACCTACTTGGTTTCCTGCCACCTTTGTCAGGGAACCAAAGCAGGGCACAACCTCACATCTGTGGTATACTTGTTAAAACTCCTAATCATGAGGAAACATCAAATAAACTCAAAATGAGGGGCATTCAACAGCTGTCCTGTCCAATACAGTAGCAACTTACCACAAGTGGCTATTTTAATTAAATAGAATGTAAGGTTCAGTTCTTCAACCCCACTAGCCATATTTTAAATGTGACTTTTCATGTAGCTAGTGGCTATCATATTGGACAGCACAGATATAAGAGCATTTCTATCATCGCAGAAAGTTCTTTTGGATAGCTAAAAAAAAAGTTATTTTGGCCTTTCAAGCTCGGCATTTGGGTGGTGGGTCCCTATGGCGCGTTCAACATGCTTATGGAGAAGTGTTATTTCTGGCAGGGGATGATATATTCCAGCCATAGCATGATGTTTGTCTGCAACGATTGCAAAGTGTTCAGATTCTGTAAATCCAAGTGTCATAAAAACTTTAAAAAGAAGCACAGTCCTCATAAGGTTGGTGGACTAAAGCATTCCATAAAGCAGAAATGAACCTGTCAAGTACCAGTGAGAGTTGTGGAATACAATTATTGATATGATGAAGAAAGCAAACAGAAATGCCAAGGTAATTTATAATAGACAGGTTGAAGAAAAATAAAGAACTACAGAAAGTTCAGGACATTAAAGAAGTCAAGCAAAACATTCTTCTTATCCAGCCCCCTTTGCATGCCAAGGAAAGCAGCTGGTAAACAAAATGGTACAGAAATTACAACAGGGTGTGGACATAGAAGTTTTTCTGAACATCTTAGCTGTCTGCAATCATTCCTATGAGTGCATTGGAAAGTCTCCTTTAGAGACTTAGAACATCTAAATTATTATTTTTTTTTACATAAGGCAACTCAAATGAAAAGGTGATTAAAAATACATCTCTTCTACATTGCTATCTGAAAAACATATATTATGGATGCTAGATTGCATCTCAATGTTAAATCTTCACTGATAGATGTACTTACGTAAATCATGAAAATTTTGTAAACACAGGAGTGAATTGTGGACATAAAATGATCATGCCACTTGGATAATGGCACTAGGTAGCATTTATGTAATAACTAATGACAAAAATTCATGGCTAGTGACATAAAATTTTTTTTGCAGTTAAAAAAAAAGTTGTATTGGACAGTGCTGATCTATAGACTAACTCTTCAAAAATGTCAATCCTATAAAAGACAAGGAAAGACTGAACTATTCTAGATTGAAGGAGAATAAAGAGGCATAACAACTGAAAGCAATATGGGATCCTGGGTTGGACCCTGAAGCAGAAAAAGCACATCTATGGGACAAATGAGCCTTACTAAAGCTTTGGGATTAGTTAATAATATTCTATCAGTATTAATTTTCTGGTTTTGATCATTATACTGTGGTTATGCAAACATTTGCATTATTTTTTCAACTGTTTTGTAAGTCTGAAATTATTTCAAAATGAAAAATTAAAAAATAAAATGTTAAAGTCTTCCTTTTTTTTTTTTTAGTCTTCTCTTAACCCTGGCTATTGATGTTATTTTATTTTTTACTGTTGATTGCATGCCACCGTATTTCATGAGTAGAATTCGCTGATCATTATCCATTTATTAGTGGAAGATCGAGTCCAGAGAGCGATCTATATGCCAGGCCACTCCCACTCCCCAATGAGGGCCTTGGAGACACCCTCCCTGGTAAAGCTCATCCCCAGGCAGGTGGCCTGAGTCTCCAGGCAAGCGCTCAAGGAGGGCTGTGGCTCATGTGGTTCACCTGTGATGACTCAGCAACCGCCAGCTCACATTTCCCCCCAGAGAGCAAAGTCAGGCTCAAAGATAGTGCCTGGGAGCCCCAAGAAGGGACATGTTCTGTCCTCATGTCTGACTCCCTTCAGGGAACTCTCCAAGTCTGAAAAACAAAATATAAACCCTGTCTTTACAACCTTGTTTCAAATAAATTTTTAAACTGTTATTCTTTAAACTATTTTATGTATACTGTTGGTTTTATTACAAAAAAATATATATGCTCAAAAAAGCTGGGGGAAATTAATATATGCTTATATAGTTAATATGGGGGGAAACAGACATGTTTAAGGAAGAAGATAAAAATCCTTACTCATAATGCCACCACCCAGGAGAAACTGCTCGTGACACACTGGTGTCTTTTTTTCTAGTTATTCTCTTTTCTACAAAACAGGGCCTCTGAGTCCTCTGGCTTCTTAGAGTCCCCCTTGCCTTGACCAGTCACATGAGATGGCTCAAGCCATGATGTGGGACATAATGGGGTCTGGTATGACCCCTTACCTCTCAGGGGTCTCAGAAGGAGGGGACTTGGACCGTGTCAGATCATGGGTCAGTCCCTGCTGCATCCGGCTCCCCAGGGCTGTCCAGCTCCTGTGGTCAGCATGGACTCTTCATCAGCCTCAGGGCATTGTGTTGCTGGTCACCTGCCATTCAGGGGCTGCCATCCTGCTATACCTTCCTGAGAACCACCCACATGAGTTGCTTGGCAACAGACATTTAAATGGGGGTTGGGGGAAAACGGAAATGAACACATGCCTTCAGAGTAATATATCAAAGTTCCTAAAATTCACAGACCGCCCCCAACGCAGGAGATGTTTCCCTGGCCACATCACTCCATGGCCCCAGCTTCCTACCACACTGCTGGTGCCCTGCTTGCTTTCAGCCCCTCTTGGTGTCTCTTGTCCTGGGGCCCCTCCCGTAGAATCTAACGCTCAGTGCAAAAAATAGAAACCACTGTAGGCATTTTATGCATGGCAGAGTTTTGTTTCTTGAAGCATAATTTACATTCCATAAAACGTCAATCTTAAGGGTGCAATTTGATTAATTTTTATCCAATTATAATAAATACCTGTGTAACCAGTACCTAGATCAAGATCAGGATTATTTTCCATCTTCCCAGAAAGTTGCCTTGCAATTCTTCTTTATCAATCTCCGCCCCAATCATTACTCTGATTTCATCACCATAGTTTAGTTTAACCTGTTCTTGAGTTTAAGATAAATGGAATCAGATAATACATACTGTCTTGTGTCTAGTATCTTTTACCCACTTCAGCTTTCTTTAATAGAGGATCGGAAGAAAGCATACCACTCTCCTAAAAAACCAAATAAACATGAGCTCAAACAGGTCAGAAAAAAGACAAAGCAAAACAAAAAATTTTACTCAGTTTTTGTTAATGTTGTAATTATTCAGTTATCTTTATTTATGTTACAGAAATCTATCTGTGAAGAGGGTGAAAAACTTTAGTCAAAAAGGGGTAAAAAGTCTATATGAAACTCATTTTTTTTTTAAACTCATCTATTTTTATACCATTTAAATCTTTAAGGTTAACTCTTAAAAAGTTGATTATTGGGCCAGCTGAGTGGCACGTTGGTTAAGAGCTGGCTTGGGACGCCAGCTCTGAGCAGCAGGGCCCCGGTTCAGATCCCACATGAGGGCCAGTGACACAGCCCTCT